CTTCCTAGCATAATAACAACCTATAGGTCTTCGAGGTAGCTCGCCTAGTACGACATAAATCCTCACTTTCTCTTTAGGCTCCTGTACAACCATATTGTGCAGCATAAGTCCTAACTCGCTTTAGGTTCCGAGGTTGTTGTGTGGTACGACGTAAACCCTCCTTTCTCTGTGGGTTATTTGCATAATCGGGTATTATGCAAATGTAAGTCCTAAGTAATAAAATTGGCAGGATTGAACATTTAAATAACATAATCTCTAAAAATGCAGTCACACAGTAGGATAGTTTGGGAAGTCACTGGGATTCTCCTCAGGATCTATGACATCCCCTACCTTTTCTTTTATTTGGACTCTTGAAATAACTGTTCCTATTTGAGCCACTCTCACTTGTCTTTTTCCACGTCCTACCTTGAAAACCTAAACTTTGAATTCTTGAAGACTAGAACCATTGATCATTATCGAGAGTTTTCTCAAGTGACTTCCGTCATTTGGGATGTAATTAACTATAGGGGCTTGCCTCTATAGGGAACTTGGAACCCAGGTAAAATAAACCCTATTTAATCTTTGTATTAGATAGGGGAATTTGTCGGTCATATATAAAAGGTTCGCAGACTAAATGGATGTCACAAATCTCTTAGTTTGCAGGATTGGGTCTATCGCCGAGGTCTATACTTATCTTTCGGGAAAGTGTAGTATTCGCGGTATCAGACACGATTATGCAAACTATTGGACGAATGAGATCCACTTGGTCTCATTTTTTTTTTTAAATTAAAACATACTACTTTTAAAACTCAAACTATATATTTATTATATTAAATTAAATTTCCAAAATTATTTTCATATTTCATATTTTCAAATAAATCTATTAATCGAAAAAGTTGACCGACAAGGATATGCCATTTCAGTTAGTTTTTTTTAGGGGCATTTACTCGCAAACCTCCCAATTCCTATGTATCTAACATTTAAAATTTTCTTTTTTACATTTATTCCACCCAAATCTTTCACATCACATCAAAATAGCACTATTTTAACTTTTAAAAAGTGAAATGTGCCTTTTCTTGCATGGGTAAGGTGGTATGTATGTAAAAATTGAAGTTTAGGGGTTTGATATGTAAATACATAGGAATTGAGTACAACACATATAAATCTTTCTTTTTTTTAATCACTATTGGTTCGCATTTGTGCTAGCGCTAGTTCACATAATGGCCTAGTAATTTCAAATGTTATCAGTCAAAATTTATGTTTTAGCCTTCTAGGTGACCATCAATGCAGTCAAGGCTCCAATAGTGTGTGCAGAAATACTGGCTCCGGTTGAGGAGACGCACGGAGGAATTTTTTTTGAAAATTTTTAAAACTTTCCTGATTTTGTTGTTATTATTATTACTGAATTGTGTATGTATTTAGGCTATGCTGCCCCTCATGTTACTTCATAACTTTACTTTTAGGATATCGGCCAAACTTTATGTTGTCGGATTATTTTTGTTAGTTAGAGTACTAAATATATCTTTTTTAGTACCTTTTCTGATACATTTAGTGATTGTCTTGGCGATTTTTTGAATTTAGCCCATTGTTGCTGTTCCATCTTTTCTCTGTGCGGATGCTTTCCACAAAGTTCTACCATTCTGTACCGGTTTTGCTGCTGGATGCATGATATGGATGGTGATTGCAGAAGTTCTTCCTGATGCCTTCAAGGTAATAATTTTCCAACCAGCGTTTTCTTAACTTTAGTTAATTAGAAATATCTTGCTTCAATGATGTGAATATGTCAAAATAATGGGACATTTACATACATTGCACATAATTCTTATGTATTTACATATTTTACATTTACATACTTAACACAATTCCTATGTATTTACATTTCTCACACTTAAACTTTCACATCTGCATACTTAATTTTCAAATATTTAATATCACATCAAAAATAGCAATATTAGCTCCTTTTAAGAGTGATTTATATCTTTTCATGCATAGGCTTGAAGCGCCAAAGTTATATTTGTGTAAATATGAATGTTCAGATGTGAGATATTTAAATACATAAGAATCATGTGCTATGTATGTAGATTTCCGTATAATAATTGAAGCCTTTGAACAGTCCAGCAGTTCCTGTTTTATTTATAGTTTCTTCATATGGCTTTTTCCTTCCTTTCATCCTACTTATTTTTCATCATTCTTATTTTGTTTAAATTTAGGAAGCCTCGCCGTCGAAAGTAGCTTCATCTGGCACACTTGCTGTGGCATTCATGGAAACTCTTAGCACAGTTCTTCAAGCTTTTACTGGCGGCAACAGGTAACATACATTCCTTTTCCGTTGCACTTTACCTCGTTGGCATTTTCCTTATAATTTTGGAAGATTTACATCCATACGTATCATTTAATTCCCATGTATTTATATCTCTAGCATATAAACTACAATTTTTACATATATGCTTCCTTACTTATGCATGGAAAGATGTATTTCACTTTTTAAAAGTTAAAATAGCTGTATTTTTTGTGTGATATTAGCTGTATTTTTTGTGTGATATGAATGATTTTTGATGGTATAAAATTAAAAATTAAAATTTAGGTGTTAGATATATAAATACATAGGAATTAGGTGGTATTTATGTAAATGCCCGTATAATTTTTTTCTTACATATCATGATTTTATATTCTCACTTGCAGTTTGGCAGATACTTCTGGCTTCATCGTCTCACTATTGTTCGGTCTCGGCCCATTCATTGGAGGCATCATTCTTATCAATTTTTCTCTTTTCTTGCACCTGCCGCACCCTCTCCTCTCCGGCATCTCCTCTGGCATTTCATTCCTCATCGCTGCTTGGAGACCTCTTCAGCTACTCCTATCCTCAAAGATGAGTTTTTTCACCCTCGCTCTTCTTCTCGCCGCCGGTTCTGCTTTCTTCCATGTGTCCATGTCTACTTTCTTGAAGTTCGGCCGCCATAAGAAATCTTCCGTCAATGATCTCCAAACATCCGGCCTATCTTTGAGCATGCTAACCCTCCAATCCATCTTTGCCTGTGTTGCAATCTCATTACACGCCTTCGCCGAAGGTCTGGCGCTTGGTGTAGCCGCCCCGAAAGCTCACGGGCTTGGCCGCCACCTGGTGCTCCCAGTTTCGCTCCATGGTCTCCCACGGGGGGCGGCCGTTGCGAGTTGCATCTTTGGCGCCACCGATAGCTGGAGGGGGGCTCTAGCTGCTGCGGCAATGACCGGCCTCGCAGGACCCATCGCTGCTATTTGCGCTATACTTGCCGGATTAGACTACAATGGGCTGGATCACTGGATGGTTTTCGCCTGCGGAACTTTGATTCCGAGCTTCAGAATTGTGTTTAAGCGAGCGATGAGGTTGGATAAACTGAAGAGCATTTATGGCCTTTCGATGGGGCTTGGATTTGCTTGTATGTGTTTGATGTCCACCAGACTTGTCTGCCTACACACTCCTTACTGCAACTCAGCTCCAGAAGCTGTCACATAAGTCTCATGGATGATGCTTTTAGGTAATTTCTGCGCCATTGTTTGGTTTTCTGGATATTATTAATCCTATTGAATATTAGTAATTCTTTAGAAGGATTAATTTAGATTTAGATTGAATGGTAGCTTGGATGGATGATTGACATGCGGGGCCCAGTTGTTTACTACTCATTTTACATTGAGGATAATTGTGCAATATATAGGTTAGGTTGGATATATGCGTTAAAGAAATGAATGTATATGATAAACTGTTATGAATGCTGTTGATCTCAATGGATTTTTCTGCTGGTCTTAAAACAGAGCATTTAGCTGTCGCCTTTGTCATGTTTGATGTAATATGTAGACTATGTTTTGTTTGCAGGTAATGTGTTTGTCTCTCTCTCTTTTTTTTTTTTTTTTTTTATAGGAATGCTGACCCGATAACACTCAATTGATACGTATTTAGGGGTGTAAACTAGCTAAACACGAGTGAGCCATAAGAGTCGTTTTGACAACCATAATCACGTAGCCATAAGATATTAAGAGTTGAGGCAATATTTAAAAATTATTGTTTATATTAAAACATCATTTGATATAAATAGAAGTATTTAAGAAATAAAAATGTTGATGCACGTATTTTCTAATGTATATCTTATTTAAATGGAAACTTTCAAGCAATTAACAAAGATTAATGTTATAATCCTCTTTATTAAAAAAAAGAATTTTAAGTAATTTGTGGTGGTACATTGATATATTATCGTCTTAGTACACACTTATAAAAGAGAATACAACTAGTGCTAACACTATAAGTTTTTATGTTTAAAACCCGTAAAAGGAAAAATCATTGGGCGTGACATAGTTATAAGAATTTACTTCAAGTTGATGATTAGAAAACCCTTTATTCCACAATCGAGAAAAAGTTACAAAGTCTTCTAAAGAACAATGCCGATATGCAGATGAAATTGTTACTAGGAACGAGTGATGATTGATAGTGATCAGCGGTGACCGACAGGTGGTGGTCAACGGTAGTCGGCGGTACTTATTGGCGACATGAGTGATGTTGGACTTCAGCTCATTCTCAAAATTTCGTGAGAGGGGTGAGACTCTATTTATAAAGTTTCAATTGCAATTAATGCAGGGATATGAACCACTTTGATCAGACGGCTAAGAGAGATTCTCTTGATCAAACGACATTTGATAGATTTTTAAGTGTCTTAATGATGTCGAAATTTAGTGATCTTGGGCTCGTTGAATTTTCTCCCTGAGACGCTTGATTTGACTTGAACTCATTAGATTTGACATCCGTTTGACCTTTCAAATGTGTCCTGAAGATTTTCAAATATGGTTTAATGGCTTGATCAAAGCTCGATTTGATTCATTTTTTATCAATGTTGTTGTCATTGGGTTTGTCTCATCTAGCTAGTCAGTTTGACTGTAAGTTTGCTAAAATCGAACTTCTTGATGACTCTTTATCAGTGTATATTTCTTGCTCAAAATATTGTCTCGAGATCTGTGTCATGCTTTGAGATTCATGTCAGAAGATGAGAATTTATTGATGGCATATTAATTGCTCCCATATTTTCATATTAGAGCAACTTTATCGTTTGACAATATCAATGTTTGGAGCCTCTTATTTTTTATTACTGTATTATCATAATATATACAATCACCGTTTGGATTATTATAAGTATTATTTGTTATGCATATAATCAATTTACTTAGCATTGGTGCCATAAATACCTCATGCGTAAAGAAGCGATTTTTTTTTTATATTCCTGGTCGGAATTTAGAAGGCGGAACAGCGGGCACTGAAATTGGAAGAGGAGATGAAATTTGATTATATTTAAACCGTTTTTTTTTTTAACCAATTCCCCCTTTTTTTTCTAATTGCTGAAATTAATTTTGTCGATACTGTGGATTACTTTTTGAGCACATAAATAGGCAAGAAGAATATGGTGGACGTAAAGTCCTCTTCTCTGAGATTTCCCAGATGAAGAAAGTCATCCCGACCTACATAGTACGCAATCAATGGGATCCTCTTTTCTGCAGTGGTGTAGGAGAAAATTCTCTTTGTCTTGCGTAGAAGGTGATCAACGATATCTTCTTTTAGGGTGTGTTGTTGAAGAAAGTTATTCATGTCTTGTGTAGCAAACAATCAACAAGATTTTTTTTCGCGTGACAACACAGAGGAAAGTAGTCCACATTTTGCATAGCGGGGGACCAATGAGGTCTTTCTTGTTGCGATGCAGAAGAAAGTCGTTCTCATTCTGTGTAACAAACGATCAACGAGATTTTCTTTCAGACGAGTGTGTTGTTGAGGGATCTTCTTTCGTGTTGCGGCGCAGAAGAAAATTGCCCATGTCCTGCATTGCAAGCGACCAACGAGACTTCTTTCTTGAAGCAGGTGCAAAGGAAAGTTGTCCTCGACTTGTGGAACAGGAGATCAATGGAACCCTATTTCGCGCCTTTGAGATGGAGAAAGTTACCTTCGTCCCTGCCCAGTGTGTGAGTTGGGATCTTCTTCCTTATTGTTGCTACGCATTATGATGGAGATGAAAAAATGCTGGAGTTTTCTTGCTGCACTTTGAAGGAGAGATTTTTATGCTTCGGTGATGGCGATATCTAAAGACCCCCTAAAGATGAGCAAAAGTACTGAAATTTTGGGGAGAAGATGTAAATTCAACTCGAAGAAGAGATTATTTGTTGTAGCCTTTGTACAAGTATACATTGGACTTTGTAGCCTTTCAATTGCCTGTATGACATTTTGTAAATGGTGATGATATGTTTGTCTATACTTTTTTCTCCAGCTCAATGCAATAAAATTTTGGGCATTACTTCTGAGGTTGTTTTTATCTTTCCTTCCGGGATGCTTTTGCCTCACTTTTTGGGTATTTTTACCCAACTGTTGGGTTTCATATTGGTGTCAATCTTTTCTGAGGTTTAAGTCTTCGAAGGTTTTTTGGCATCTTAAACATGCAAAAATCTACAATCAAAGTTATCAAGTGCACTTTGTATATAAAAAGAATAACAGAGCTTTTCAGACATGCCTTTTGTGATTTGTATCAATTTAGACATGCATCTTATGTGACTTGTACTTTCTCAGGCTCATGCCTTCTAGAAGCTTGAAATGTGTTAGTGCTTTTTGAGGCTCGTAACTCTTTGAAGTCTTTGATGTACTCGTGTCTCTTTAAGCTTGTAGCATTTTGTTGTTTTTTTATATAAATGTGACTCTTGAAGTTTGTAGCCTTCTGAGGTCTTTGAGTGGAGACCCTGTCAACCACTTGATCTCGTGGAGTCTTTCTAGTGAGAACCTTGTCCACTACTAGCTTCCTATCGAGACTTTCCTCTTGAGCTCGTCTTTTAGGGTCATGATAGCTTCTCATTGAGTTTTCCCTCTTGAGCTCAACTTTCAGGAGTATCGTATCTTTCCATCGAGTTTTGCATATTGGGTTCAATTTCTAAGAGCATGTAGCTTCCTATTGAGTTTTGCCTCTTAGGCTCAACTTCCTGGAGTACTGTATCTTCCCATTGAGTCTTGCCTCTTGGGTTATACTTCTAGGGGTATGGTTGGAGACCTTGTCCGCCACTGCGAATGTTCAACTTTGCAAAGGTTGCTAGTTAAAATGCGTATGTCTAACGACTGTAGCAAGTGTTGAAGCATATTTGAAAAAAGAATCCATTAAGGATGTAAGCATCATTATGATTGTATAATAGGAGACGCTTGACAACATTAACCCGTAATGGACAAAGTCATATGAAATTTGTTGAGAAAGGTTGACCTATCTAAGGTTATTAGGCAAAGCTTCTACTTAACAACCATAACATGTTATGAAGGAAATATGGTTGCAATCATACTCAATAATATGGTCACAATCATACGCAAGATTAATGTTCGACAACTTCTTATTTGTTTTTTTTTTAAATCTTGTAGCGGGGTTGTTTTCCACACGAACTTGTAAAACAGCCCATATATCAAGTCTTAAAGAAATCAACTTCTAGATCTGGTTGAAGAGGAACTCTACTATGATGAGGGGGCATCGAGGAAGCGTTGTTTGCAGTGAAAATTACCCCCTAGTCCAAGAGCGATTCTCGAAGACTTATAATCTAAATGATATGTGGGTAGATTACCCTACCACAGTCGTGCCAGCGATGTTAATGCGAACGACCTTGTTATAATGCAATGAAGGTTGCCGCCCAACCTTAAATAAGTAGTGAAAGAGTTTGTGTTTGAATAGGATGCGAGAAGACAACTCCACTACAATTATGTCCAGGAAGTTGACATGAACAACCTTTCGGAACTGCTCTAAAGCCTTCCCCCCACATCGAAGAATGCTTCATGGATAATCTTTAAAATGCAAAAGATGTTCATTCGTCAGTTGGATAATGTATATCATTGGAAATGAAGTAGGCGCTGCATCTCAAAGTTGAAGACAGTGGCTAACGGTGCTTCATTTCCCACAAATGATGCTAAATTGATGCGTGCTAGAAAATTCACGACAATAGAGTGATATATTATCATCTTAGCATGGTAAGAAGAATCAACACGCACTCATAAGAGAGAATACAACTAGTAGTGACACCATAATTTTTTATGTGAAAAACTCATAAAGGGAAAAATCACAGGGGTTTGATCCAGTTGTAAAAATACATTAGAAACTGATGGTTACAAAGACCCCTTGTCTCATAATCGAGAAAAGATTACAAAATCTTCTGAATTACAACATCAATGTGTGAATTAAATCATTGCAAGGAACAGAAGGCGACCAAGAGAGATCGGTGGCGACCGGTAAGTGGTGGTTACGACAGTCGGCGGCAGTCGACGACTGTTCATTGTTAAAGGTTCAAGCTCTTTCTCAAGCTTCAAGCTCCCTCCTCATGAGAGGGGTGAGACTCTATTTATAGAGTTTTAGTTGCAATTAATTCAAGAATATGAATCACTTTAATCAGATAACTCATATGACTTCCCTTAACTAGAAGATGTTTGATGGACATTTGAGTACATGATTTAACGATGCACATACATTTGACCTTGGTCTTGTTGGATTTATCTCGATGAGATGCTCAATTCGACTATAAACTTGTTGGATTCAACATTCATTTGACATTCCAAATGCGTCTGAAAAACTTCTAAACCTAATTTAACGACTTGATTAGGACTCAATTTAGCTCAAATTGGATCAATGTTGATGTCATTGGCTCCGTCTTATCGAGCCAGTCAACTTTACTGTAAGTTTGTTGAAGCTAGGCTTCTTGACGACTCTTTATCATAATTTGAATAATTTTTGTTCAAAATATTATTTCGAGATCTGTGTCATGCTAAGAAATCCGTGTCACATGATGAGAATTTCTTGATGGCGCATCAGGTCCCAAAAGCCTATGTGAGATGATTCATTTAAACTTGATTATATATTCACTTTAAATAAGTAAAAAAAATTATTTTGTAGTATATTATTACAATGACAACTAATAAAAAAAGATTACGAATATTAAATTTTGTACATTCTAAGATGGTGTTTTATTTTGTTTTAATTGTAATTTTTTATATATTAAATAATTTGTTGAATAAATATAAAAAGTAAATAAATAAAATAAAATAAAACTTAAAAAAAAAATCTAAACAAAAGGTTAATTACATGAACAACACTTAAAACATTAATATTTAAAAATCTAGCACAATTTTTCATTTATTTTTCAAATTCTCACCTAAATATCATAATTCTCTATAAAATATATTTTCTCACATTTTTTTATAAAATTCTAAATAAGTAATTAATATTTTACATATCAACAACTCAAATATAATGTTTTAATCATCTAAATTGTAAATATAATATTTAAACCACTTAAAATCTTCACTTAGACTCTCAATAAATGGATTTTAAAAAGATAATTGCCATAAAAATATTATTTTTAAAATATAAGGGTTAAAATGTTATATTTAATAAAAAAATAAAAATAAAAATAAAAAAGTATAAATAATGCGCAATAATAAATCCGCCGTCCTCAACTATTTACGGACTGTCCTGCACGAGCGCGCTCTCATTTTCCAGAGAGAGAGCGAGAGAGTTGCGAGAGGGATGAAGATTTTCCACGTCGCTTGCCTCGAAGACAACTATGCATACTTGTATGTTATCGTGTTCTTAAAAACCCTAGTTGCAATTGCTGTATTCAATCCATGCTTTCAATCTCAGAATCGTAGATGAGGCCACGAAGGAGGCGGCCGCCGTTGATCCCGTCGAGCCAGAGAAGATCATTCGCAGGGCGAGCGAAATCGGCGCGAGCTTGAAGATCGTTCTCACGACTCACCACCATTGGTTCTCTCTACCTTAATTTCAACTCGCTTTGTGCATTTTTTTTTTTTTGCTGCCCTTTCTTTTTTGGTTATTTTCGTGGCTTTTTAAGAAGTGCTGTTATGAAGTGCCATGGGGAGTGTGAAACCGAGGTTGTTTGCTTGCTTGCTTAATTTATGCTTGTTTTTGTGGGTACTTTTTGAGGTAGGGATCATGCTGGTGGGAATGAGGAGATCAAGAAGTTGGTGCCGGGAATCAAAGTTTTCGGAGGATCGTCTGATAGTGTCGAAGGATGCACCGACAAGGTGGATAATGGGGATAAGCTTACTCTGGGCTCAGATGTTAATATATTGTGTCTTCACACTCCCTGGTATGATGTGCTTCTTATCTTTGCTTTAGGGATACTTGTTCCAGTTTTATTAAATTTCGTTGCTTACTCGTATTTAGTTATTGTTCTTCTGGGGCTACTTTTTGCTTAGTTGTCTTAACTCATTTTGTTCTAGATTAATTAACTGTAGTTGGAGGTATAAAACCAATATCAAAAGTTACAAAAATGAGAATTTTTACAGGTTGTAAAAATTTGGAAGTAATATAAAGTTTTCTTGGAAATCTAAATCTCTTAAGCTGTTCTTTCAAAACCCGAAAAAAAAATGAAGCTAAGTAGTGCTTCGGTCAACTGAATGCTTTCCATTTATAAGTTTGTAGTCTTTTCTATGATTGTGATATAACAATGGACAAACTTTCAAATAATAAAGCTGTCTTTTTAACAAATATATATGAAGGTTTATTCCATTTGAGTATGGTGCTTGATAGAGTTTTACTGTCAACATTCCAATTATTATAACTAAAGAATTACTTGGTTAATGAGTTGATGAAGTATGACCATGGTTCGAATATGATGAAGAAATAGATGATTTTCTATGCCATTCCCCAAAATAATACTTTCTTTTTACCAATTTAAAAACTAATTTTGTTGAAATTGTTTTTGATATTTTAGGATGCATACTCAGGAGCCTCTATATGACTTGGGTACTTTTGCTCTACAAAATGAGTGTATTGTTTTATTTGACTATGTTCTGACATTGCATGAACTATTTGGATTCGGAATTCCTAAAAGATCGGTTTCTTTAACTTTATTTTTGGATAAGTTTAAGATATTTTTAAATTTTTTGCATTGTTTGCAACAGCGTTTTAAAAAAATTCATAGATGAAGATTTTGTTCTGTCATCACAGATTTAGCGTTTATCTTTTTCCTATTAAAATACCCAGCCTTTCTAACTCAAAGCACATAGTTAGAATCTAAATAAAGGCTTTTTTTAAATTTGATTTGTTTGGAATGTTGTTATCAGCCATACTAAAGGTCATATAAGTTATTATGTCACGAGCAAAGAGGAAGAAGATCCAGCTGTTTTTACTGGAGACACTTTGGTAATTTTTATCATTTTGTTATTAAGAATTCTAATATAGTAGTACTCTTAGCAAATTATGGCTAACTCATTTTGTTCTACTAATTTATAGTTTATCGCTGGTTGTGGGAAGTTCTTTGAAGGAACTGCTGAAGATATGTACCAGTCATTATGTGTGACATTGGGTTCACTGCCAAAGCCTACTAGAGTATTCTGTGGGCATGAGGTAGTTCCTTTGTGATTTTTGTTAAATTTCTTTGTTCCATTATTTGAACTTATTCAATTAGACTTTTTTTTTTATTTAGAAGATAAAAGAAAGGCAAACCTTTTAATATAGATTGTAAGGTTATTTGAGGAAAAAAATATGATTACATTGCATAAATTACTTGTTATTATTCCTTATGGAGGTATATCCTAGCTATATCTTAGGAATATGAAAAAATGATCAAATAATTATTTCACCTAGAATAAGATTCTGGAAAGGCAAGAAGTTAATTTTTCATGATAATAAAACTCTTTAGTTGTACCTAACCTATTATGGGTTTCGTGGCCAGTTTTTTATCAATATAGAAATAAATCATTCATTAATAAGCAGATTTGGCGGTGGAATATGAAGGCACACAAGGTTATTGAGAAAAAAAAAATGGTTTTATAGTGTGTTAGAAGCGGAATTCTACTTTATTCTTATAATTATTTTGTAAAGGCTTGACATATTGCGTAGTTGCTGATGGGAAAAGCAAAATTATAACCTTGCAATTATAACAGATTGGTAGCTAAAGAGTGTGAAATGAGGTATATAAAATAACTTAGATTAGAAAGAGGAGATATTACAGATTTTCGTTATTGAAGATATCATGAAAGATCAAAATCTTATTAAAAAAAATTATTAAATGTAAGCTTTATTGAAGAAAGAGTTATGGAAGCGCATAATATACAAGATAGAAATGCATTTTTTGTAAGTTGGTCAATGAAGTAGAGATAGCTCTGAAGAAAATACATTTTACTTGTAGATTTATATGAGGTACTTATTGGGATTTAAGAAGTTATAGGAGATACTGTAGTGATTTAGTTAATAAAGATTTTGATAGAATTTCAAATACTAAGAGGATGACAAATGAGTGGATCATTTTGCTATTAATATTTGAGAGTAAAAGAGATATCCAAAATTTGATAATAAATAAAGAAATTATAATTTAAAAAATTAATCGGTGTTGGAGAATTAATTTGATTTCATACCATGAAGATGAAATATATAAGCGATTCCTATGCTAAGATTACTAATTAAAAAGCATAGAGAGTAGAAAAAATAACCTTATGATTTTTATTGTTCTTGAAAAAGCTTATTAACTAAATACCATGAGAATTGATTTAGTGCGTATTAATGAAAATAAATGTTTATAAAAGATATGTTAAAGTTTTTATAAATTTATCTGATGGGGCATTGACTATAATTATCATATAATTACGTCAAGAATCAACATGGAATCTATTAGTTCTAGTATTGGTTTGGGATGCTTAAAAAGGTTATTCAAGGCGAGGTGCATTATTTTATATATATATTTTTAGTAGATGACAATCTTAGTTGATGAGATATATTATGATTAAAACAGTGAAAAGAATGGTGAGGATATTTAGAAGATAAAGGATTAGGATTAGCTGAACGAAGACTTGATTATTTGATATTTAATTTGGGTGGGTGTGAAATAAAAATTATTAGTTAATATTCTTATAATTTAGAACGATATCTATATTGGATTGGTTTAAAGTATTTTAAATCCATTGTGTAGAATATAAATGCGGATATAATTACTAGAATTAAGATTGAATATCTAAAGAGCATGATGCAAGTTGAGCATATCAAGGAGACTTAAAAAGGTAATTTTGAGAAACTACAATTTTAACAACTGCATGTATTTAACTATTGGATATTGTTGGATTTATTGATAGCCAACTAACATGGCATAGATGAGATTGCTGAGACAAATATGTGAAAAAGTCAGAAATAAATGGTTATTGAATAATTATATTAAAGGGACCATGAGATTAGTATATACCAAATAGAAGATAGTGAAAAATAGAATTTTATTTGGCTGTACAACAATGAGCATAACATGTTCACGGAGAACATTTAGATAAAAATAGAACAATTTTATTAGTATCTTTTCAGTTTAGGATGCCGATCTTACTCTCTTAAAAATTCCATCTTTTGTAACATTCTAGAGATGTTTTCCAGTACACAGAGAAGAACTTGAGGTTTGCATCAACTGTGGAGCCAGATAATAAGGAAATATCTCAGAAACTTCACTGGACTCAACAACAAAGAAAAGCTAATCTGCCAACAATTCCTTCGACCATTGGAGAGGAGTTTGAAACTAATCCATTCATGCGTGTTGATTCATCTGAAGTACAGGTATTGTAATATTTGCATTGTTTCTTTCCTTCACATAGTTATTCCTTTCGTTGTGAATTACGATTGAGATAGCCAACTTTAAGAAACTATTTTGATTGACCCTTTTCTTCAATGGTTTGGCATGGCATGCTTCGTTGTGTAATCGAGAGATCAGTTAAACAAGCTGAAGTATTAAATGTTAGATGAATATTTGAGACAATTGGAGCACGTCTCAATGATTTGCTTAGATTTATGCGCAGGGGAGAGTAATAAAATTGTTGCAGTTGTCTGTTTTAGTCTTCTCCAAATTACTCATTGGGAAATTTACTTGTATACCACAATCTTTGCATATCCAAAGTATGATATTTACACTTAATAACACTTTGATGTCGTAAGCCTATGCTTGAAATGTGTATTTCACTTATAAAAAGATAGTGATGGCAGTATTCTTTATGTCATGTTAAAGTTTTGAACGATATGCATTTAACCATGAATGCTTAGGTATTAGATAAGAATTGTTCTGTATTTATGTAAATACCCATTTTGTTAAATGATTTTTTTTTCTGAAGAAATTAATAACATAAACCCTTGATATTGCAGGCTAAAGTAGGCAGTCGATCTGCAGTTGAAGCTCTGAGGCAACTGAGAAGGCTGAAGGACAACTGGAGAGGTTGAATGGGATCAGAAGCTCTACCAGGTTAGTCATATAATTATGACATTGATGCGTAAGTTTAGTAGCTGTTTGTAGGCAGGGAGTCCTGTCTTGTCTTTAAGTTAAAATAATACTGGATATAATCACATATACTTTTGTGCTTTAAATCCTACAATTGAAATATGGATGAGAAAAATATTGCGTTGTTTTTACTGTTTAGAGTTATATTGTAGTGATGATGGCATAATTGAGCTATGGTGTATTCTTTCGGCAATTCTATCTGACTGTTTAATATTTAAGATTGCATTTGAGAAGGTCTTTTACAAGTTTATATTTCAAATTGCTATCACAATTTGCTCGGCTGCTACTACTTTCTTCGTCTGAAGCACTTGAATTCGTCGCGCATATTTTTTCATTATTTAGCACATGAATCCTTGTTTATTTCTTATTTAAACAATCCTAATACAAATTTTGCTTAAGATATTTTTCAATCCAAGGTTATAAAGTATTTAGATAATATGTTGAAGAGTTGACTTATCATTGGAGTGAATTAACTCACTTTATGTTTCTCTTCTATGTTCGGTTTGATTATGTTCATGCTGATGAAAAACTTATTATCATAGCATATCATCATCAGATTCATTTCACATAAATTTTAAATCTTTTAGTATAATGTTAATCTGTATGAGTTCACAAATACCTTGTGCCGTTGCTCTAGAATTTGATTCAGCACTTGAGACAGTGGACTTTCTTTTCCATGTTATGATATTTTGGAAGATTTGGATACATATCATTCAACTCTTATGTATTTACATATCTAACATGTAAACTTTTTTATGTACATGAATCTTATCTATGCATGAAATGATTTATTTCACTTTTTAAAAACTACATGAGAAGCTACAATCCTAATACTTTCAATTCACTTACTCTCTGGCGCTTAGACATATACCACTTACTCTCTTACGCTTAAGCATATAGACTACTCCTATTTTTTCCTTGTCTCTGACGCTTGCATAAAAAACATGGCTCCTTTCGTGCTCTTAGCAATATTTATAAATTTCATTTAGGGGCTGCCTTAGTGTTTTGGACCCTATATCTTAGGGTCTGTTTTGGATAGCTTTGTGCCCACTTAATGTTTCAGATCGCTGCTACATTTGTTTGGAGAACTGTTTTCTTGCTTTTTTTTGAGAAATTTTTGTTGTTGAAAGCTGTTTTGTGTCATGATAATCAGTCATTTTATTTTTCTCAAAAGATTTATAATATATTTATTACTGAAAAATAGTTTAAAAGGAGAAAGCATTTAATATGAAAAAAAGGTGCATTTCTTAATTAAAGATATATTCTGACACAGAAAGATAAAGCACATTATGTTTTACTTTGTGTTTTTAGTGTATGTGTATGTGTGAAGTATCGCAAGCCATTTCAAGCTATATAAATTGATCATGACTTTCACAGGTTATTAATGATAAAAATTTGTCCTAATCTTTAATTTTAGCTTGCTTTAGTCGAAGATTTCTACTTGCAAATTAATTAAAAGTATTTCAATGTTATTGTTTGATTTTATTGGTCTATATGATTTTATTTATTTATTTTTTTCATTGCTCCAATACTTGTTGAGTTGTTGGTTATTTATCTAATATAAATTAATTTCTAAAGTCTAATACTTTTCCCATGCAGCATCTATAAATTAATTATTTCAAGTTAAAACCAACTAATTTATTTTCAATATAATAGTTAAAATCACAAAAGAACAACTAATATTTATCTATGTTGGTAAGTTTCAACGAATTAGGGCCTGTTTGATGAAACAACTGCTGCTGTTTGAAGAAGCAATTGTGAAACTGCTGAAGAAAAAATTACTATTTGAAAAGTTATGGTGGTTATTATAAAATTTTCTTTTTTTGAAAAAATCATACTATAACTTTCTAGCAGCCACAACAGGTATTCATGTTTGGTGGCAAAATGCAGTATTTGTAGCCCCAAACGGAACCTTGGTTGTGACATAGACGGCTGTATGTATTGGTACAATCAATTGGATATTTATCTCATGAATAATCAAATTTTGAATGTTTTTTTTTCTAATTAAAGAAACATACTTTGGTCTGTCTTTATTTCTCTTTCATTTTGACATTTAATTAGTTCATTTTGTTTGTTTTAATGAGTTCAGACTGCTGAATATGTCCTCAAAATATGCAACTCGAAAAGCTAATTTTAAGGGAAATTTGGCATGCCTATAACACTTATTTTTTATTCTATTTACATATCTACCACCCAAAGTTTGATCTTTTCTATTTACATATGCGTAAAAATATGTTTTTTTATTTTTAGAAGGATGATGAAGATGATATTTTTTGATGTGATATTAAAGATTTGAGTGGTATGAATGTAAATATGAATATGTTTGGGTGTTAGATATGTAAAAACATAAGATTAAATGCTCAAATTATAATTTTTTGAAAAATTATTTGAAAACATGAAATTACTTTTTTCTTTTAAAATAATGGTGTTGCTTAATTCTAGCCATCCAAATTTAGTTGGATGGTTGAAATCAATAATTGTAGCTACAAATGAATCAAATGTTTGACAAAACTTAAATACTTATCCAAATGTTCAATAAATAAATTGGTTTTTTGCTCAATTTATTTATGAATATGAATAATATTATTTAAAGTAGGTGAATAATTTTTTAATTTGTTTTTATAGTAATGCAGATAATTTAGAAATCTAAAATCTAAACATTAATATTTGCAATCATATAACTTAAATTTTTAATATCATATCAGGAATATCGTAATTACTATCTTTTTTTTTAAGTGAAATAAATATTTTTTAAGCCTAAATTTATGAGATAGATGTCTTATAAATAGGGCTGTCCAAAACGGATCGTTGTTAGCGAACAACTCGTGTTCGATTGGTTCGCTATTCGTTCGTGTTCGGCTCGTTTTGGCTCGAAATTTTCTCAATCCTTAACATCTGATGGCTACGTTATTAGAGCTGTCAAAATGACTTTTTGTTCGTGAACGGCTCGTG